GGGGTGTCACGACCCAACCCGACCGGGACGGATCCCGCTCGCATCGAGCCGCGACGGAACTATTGAAAATCCAGGATCTATTTTTGGAATTTGCTTCAAACTTTCTTCCAAATATTAAATAGACAGAAAAACACAGAGCTAATATAAACATCCAAATATAGAACAGTTCATCTATCTTTTCTTTCATCAAAATAATCATATACAGATACAGTGTATGGCTGCAGACAGAAAGAACATAATAGAAACAGAAAAGCCATGACTGTACAAAAATCAAAAGTATCAAGTACCTAACCACAGATTAGACTCAGAACGTCTAGTCCAAGACCTCCTTCCCTTTCCCAGAACCTAAAAACCACGCAGAAAACAAGGATGAGCTAACAGCTCAGCAAGACATCAACCACCAATCAAAATAATCAGAAACTCACATCAGAAGACATATATCAGAAACTAGCCGTACGGAAATCATAGAAAAGACAGAACAGATACTTGATCAATCAGAAATCAAACAACTGATATAGAAAATTGAAGTCATTTCAAATCAGAGTTCAGAACAGATATTATAAAGCTATCAAATCACAGAGCAGACAGAATCGTACGGAATAACCAGAATCGTACAGAAATCAGAAATCATAGCAGAAATAATAACATTACAGCTTTACAGAACATATAATTTCAGAACAGAACTTCCTTCCAGATGTCAGAACTTCCCCTTATATCTTTCTTGTGCTTATAGCACCAGAACTTTCCCTTATGGCTCCCTTTTGTGCTTATAGCACAAGAACAGAACAGATATACATAATTTCGGATTTCAGAACTTCCCCTTATGTCTCCCTTCCCAGACCCAGTCAACGGAATCACATAGGATTCCGGCCCCTTATAACCCCCTTCTGATATCATACAATTAATCAATTCATTCAATGTACAATTCAGAACAAAAGCAGAATTCGTACGAAAAACCAGTGGCATAACGACAGTATACGGAATTTACACAAAATTCACATATTCAAAAATTTACCAAATTATCACAGAATATTCACAACAATATTGTAAGACTTTCATTGTACTGACAAAATATTTTTCAACATCCTGATAATTTGCAAATCAATTAAAACACCGCAGTATTCAGAATATCAGGTAAAAATCTTCCAGAAAATACTCAAAACGTGCACAATTATAATCTCAGAAACATACCAAAAGTTACGCGGTAAAATCTTTGTTAGAAGAAAATAACACCAGAAATTTGCTAACGGAAACAAAATTCGGAACAGAAAAGTCGTAAAAAATCTCATTTCTAAAAATTGAAAAAGGCGGAATGTGCCTTACCTCGAGTCAATCAACTTTCCCAACTACGGCGACGGACGAAAACGGACCGAAATCGCCCAAAAATCAACTTTTTCTCTTTTCCCTTCATTTTTCTCTCTCCTTGGCTTTCTCTCTCTTCAAAATCGGCACTATTCAGATATTTATTAAGCAGGATCGTCCCGGACGATGTCCCGATCGTCCTGGGATGATCTTCTCTGGACTCAATCGTCCAGACGAAAATAAATTCCATTATTTTCGTCCCTGGACGAAACTCTCTATCTTGGTTCATCCCGACGGTTCGTCCCGACTGTTCCAGGTTCGTACAGACGAAAATGACAGATTTCTTCATAATTTTCTTCAGTTCGTCCGGGACTAAGGTAGTTCGTACGGGACTAACAGCACTAAAAAAAATAGCTTTTTGAAGGATTTTACAATCTACCCACCTTAAGAAAAATCTCGTCTTCGACATTTCCAAAGTAAACTGAGTCAAAATAGATACGGATATGACTGTCTCATGTCCGACTCCTTCTCACAAGTCGCTTCCCGTGCTGTTCTGTGCTTCCACTGCACTTTAACCATCAGAATCTGTTTACTTCTTAACTTGCGAACATCATAGGCCAAAATCTTCTCAGGTTCTTCCTTGTACTGCAGATCCTCCTGAATCTCAACCTCATCAGCAGACAACTTCTTGTCAGAATCAGATATCCACTTTCTCAAAGTGGATATGTGAAAAATATTATGCACATCAGACAGCTGATCAAATAACAACAATATATAAGCAGACTTACCAATCCTTTCAATAATCTCAAAAGGTCCGACATACCTTGGACTGAGCTTGCTTATTCTACCAAATCTGCTCACACCTTTCATCGGACTAACTTTGACATACACAAAGTCACCAACCTGAAATTCCACAAATCTGTGCTTCTGATTGTAATACTTCTATTGTCTATCTTATACAGCTTTCAATTTTTCTTTAATCAGATTGATCTTTTTAACAGGTGCACCCACAATTATCGTACCCATTTCCTGTCTATCGCCCACCTCTGTCAGAGTCAAAGGAGTTCTACACTTTCGGCCATACAAAGCTTCGTAAGGTGCCATACCAATAC